AATAACTTCTGGGCGCCCGTCGCCGCTCCGCTCGCACCCCGCCGCCGCGCTTGCCCTCCACCGTTCCGCCCGCCGCCCATTCGTCAAGAAGGATTTGAGGTCCACGACGGCGCGACGTCCTGATCTTCGAGCTCGTCCGCCGCTCGCTTCATCCCCTCTAATACTGCGTCGTTGGCAATCATGCGTCGCTTCGTCGAGGTCCACGATAGCGGCGGCGGAGGACACTGATGTTGGCGAGGCGAGGCCGGAGAACGTGACAAGCGAGGCGGTGCAGCCGTGGTGTGCGACTAGGCGCTGCAACAGCTCAGCCATCGGTATGACATGGCCGGCGAAGGGGCTGACGATGAGGATGACGTGCGGCGGCGGTGGGCGATGTGACGACGGAGGCAGCTGAGGGATTTGGGGGTTCTTTTTGGTGCCCAGGGCTCTACTGAATGCAATGTAGATGGTTAGCTTCGGTCAAACCGGGTATGGACCTTAATGAGTCACTTAAACAAGATGGTGGACCTAGATGTGCAATTTACAAGATTATGGACCTAAGTGACACCCGCGCACAACTTTAAGGAATGGTAGTGTATTTTACTCTATATAAAAAAAGAGGGGCGATCCTAAACGTAGAAAAAACCACCTCCTCCTATTATGCTATGAATTATCTTAAGAAAGATAATTCATAGAAAAAAAGCTGCTCATGAGAATATAGAAAAACATGCTTTTTCTATCTTGTGGCTTCTAACACATTATTTTAATTTCATAGTTATATTGATGGGAATTTAGGTGAAAAATTTCTACCGTCTAGAGAGCCATAAATTATGGAAAATGTTGTATTACTATAAACTCTCCCGAACAAGGACGAAGGAGTGCAAGCAGCTTAAAATCCACATAACTTCCTTAACGCCTCGTTATTTTCTGATTAAGTTACAGATCTTACCCACTACTACAAAACATTAAATAGGTGTTGCCACTATAGATACTGAAAGTACTAAAACCAGCACCTATAGGCCTTTTCCAATTTCCGCGGGTTGAAATTGCAAAAACCGGCACCTTTAAGCAATTATAAGTGCCGGTTCTAAATAAGAACCGACACCTATTCTATAGGTGTCGGACCGACACCTATAATATATTATAGGTGCCGGTTTTTTAAAAAACGACACCCACAGAAATCTAGCCGAGGCGGCATCGGATGAGCCAACCAGCGGGCCCCACCACAACGAGGCGAGGAGGAGATAAGGTTCGCTCTCGCGTCATCTCGCTCTCTTCTCTCTCTCCCTCCCTTCTCTCTCATCTCTATCTTCTCTCTCTCCCTCCCTTCTCTCCCGCTACCGGCGGAGGCGGCAGCGGCGACCGCGCCCTTCCCTCGCTAGATCTAGCGGGAGGGGAGGTGGCGGTGGCAGGAAGGGAGGCGGTAGCAGGGATCTTGAGGGGAGCCCGTGGTGGCCCGACGGCCAGGGGGGAGGCGGCGGCAACGCCTTCCCCTCCGCTAGATCCGGCTGGAGGGGAGGCAGCGGCGCCTCCGCTCCACCAGATCTGGCCGGGAGGGGAGTCAGCAACGGCTCGGCGGCGGCGGGAGGGGCGGCAGCAGCAAGTGGCGTGGCTCACAGGCATCGGCGGCGGCGACCTCCCATCTGCCAAATCCGGCGGGAGGGAAGGCAGCAGCGGCGGCGGAGCCCCCCCTCCGCCAGATCCGGCGGGGTAGGCAGCGGCAACGACAGTGGCGGGCTCCCTTGTCTCTTCTACCACTGGTGAGCACCCCCAACCATCTCCTTTGCTTGCCGGCTGTGTCATTGTTGATGTTTGATTCGATGATTCAATAATGTTTGATGTTTGATTCAGTGATTTAAACTTGTTGATGAATATTTGATTGTGTGATGTGTACTTGTCTTTTTTTTTTTGATTTTTGATTTTTTTTTTTGGCTTTAAAGAATTGGCTCGACTCAAATCGAGCCGATCGGGCTTTTTTTTTTTTTTTTGCAAATCGTATACCTCAAAGGTGTCGGTTCCTAAACCGGCACCTTTGAGTCATCTCATCAGTGCCGCCTTGGTGGTGCTGGTTGGGAAAATTGGCACCTAAGGGGATTTCCCAACCGGCACCGAAGGCTCTTTCTGTGGTAGTGACCCTGGTTTTGTTAGCACGTTTTTCAATCTGCTAGGTGTATTTCGTGCGAAAACTTTTTATACATAATTTAAGTTGCTTTAAAATATCAGATAAATCTATTTTTTAAGTGTATAATAATTAAAAGCCAATTAATCATATACTAATTAATGGATTTCTTGTTTTCGTGTCCTAGCTACTTCATCTTTAGTAAAAACGAGCATCACCAAACTATGTTCCCCGGACTGGTTGGAGAGTGGATATATTTTAAACTTTCGAGAAGACGTTCCCTTGTTGTTTACATATCACTCAAAATAGTTATTAAAAAATTTAAAAGATATATTAATATATAATATATCAGTATTTAAAATTCAACTTTTACAAGTTGTAAAAAAAAAGTACAGCTAGTTAATGTATATTGATAGTCATTTTTTTTTTGCAACATGTAGAAGTTAAATTTAACCTTGCATGTTTGTTTGGTGATCTATCATATATTAATATATCTTAGTGACTTTTTTTAAAAAAAAAATTAACTATCTTTATATAATAAAAGTCCATTAAACTTCCTACAATCACTCTCAAGCCGCCACGTGGCATCCTAAAAATACTCCCGAGTCGCCACGTGGCATTCTAATAAAATAGAGAAATCTGACCATCGATTTTCACTTAAATAGGTGGGCCCATTATTTTAGATCGTTAGATTATCTTTAAAGAAAAAAAACCCCCTGCCGTCCCTACCTCCGTGCAGGATGCGTATTGTACGCTCCCTATCACCCCTTCTTTTTTTTTCTCTTTGTTTCTTTCTTCTTTTTTTATCTTTATGAAAAAAAATCCCTACAAATAGACATCGTACGAGTAAGTCCATTAAACTTCTTAGAAACGCTTTTAAGCCACCATATGGCTCCTACAAACGCTCTTGAGTCGCCACGTGGCGCTCTGATAAATTAGAGAAATCTAAGAAATTCCAATAAAAAAAAGAAAAACATCGTACCATTTATTTTCTCTTTACACACCATTAGATCTATATATGTAAAAAACAAATGTCACGTACGACCACACCTCTCCCTAGGTCCCTCATCTCCTAACATGTACGTGCATCCAAAGTACGTATGTCTCCCCACCCCTCTCTTCTTCCTTCCATTTATGGTAGCAAAATTTTGTATATAAAAAACACAACAACTAAATAATTAGAATATCTTATAATATATTCGATTTTAATTTGAACTATGTTTACCATATTTTGGTATGTACATATATAAGAAACATATCATTTGACATAAACCCCTTTATCGCAACTAAATAGTAATAAAATATTACAAAAAGTAACATATATCATGCCATTGTAAATGATCTCCTATTATCTCTCGTGCTCACTTTCTTATCCATATTTTCTAGCGAGCAGTTCAGTACATAAAGAACCAACAAATGCTATATTAACTATCTATTATATACTTAAAAATTCATTAAACTCCCTACAGATCCTCTTAAACTGTCACATGGTTTTCTACAAACACTCATGAGATGCCATGTAGTGCTCAAATAAATTAAAAGTTCCTAGAAATTATGATAAAAAAATCAAACCATTGATTTTCCTTTAAATAGGTAGATCCAATAATTATAACTGCTACATCTCACAAAAATAAATCCGGTACCCCCACCTCCACCCCTACCGTATGTGAGCATGCATGTACGTACGTACCTCCACCGTCCTACTCATCTCTGGGATCCAATTCTCATATCCTATTTTTAAGATAACTTTTCCTATTTTCTACCTAGCACATAATATATAGAAAAATAATAATAGCTAAATGATCATGACTCTCAAGTTACATGTACTTTTCTCAGTTTATTTGACTTTTTGTGTTATTTATAATTAAATTCAAGACCCATATTGCACATATTTACTATATATAAGTTAGATAATACTGCTATCTAACTACAAATATTTGAGCAAAATAGCACTTCGAAAATGATGAATGAATTCAAATGTGTGGGTCTAAAGTCCAAGTTCAATCATCACCAAAGAAGCTTGGAACCAGAATGCACACTCTGGGCCTGAACCCGATGAAGGCGGAGCTATAAGACATTATTAGCAAGGTGGACACTGACGGCAGCGGCATCATCGACTTCTACAAGTTCCTGGACCTAATAGCGCACTAAATGATTAGATGAAGGACAAGGACTAAGAGGAGGGGACCAGAGGGAGACGTTCCATGTCTTCGACAAGGACTAGAAAACAGCTTCATCTTTGCCACCGAGCCCCACCACGTCATGTCTAATGTATCAAGAGAGGCTCACTGATGAGGAGGTCAACAATGATCCGCAAGGCTAATGGTGACAGGTGGATCACCACAAGGAGTTTGTAATTAAATTCAGAACAAAAATATAAAACAAGCAATTTGATTAAAATACACAAACAAAAAATAAAAAACACTAAAACTATAAAAAAAAAATAACAAGATTCCATGTAGAATATAAAATATCAAGAGTCCCTATAAAAGTATAAGTTATAAATATCTAAAATTTGGAATAATAAAATAAGTATTAAAAAAAGAGATCAAATACAGCACGATATGAGATTAAGCGCAATTTAAAATCCCTAAAAAGACAATTTAGAATAAAGTAATTTGATTTGAATACAAAGTCGAATTAAGAATCACTCAATCACTAAATTCAGAATACAATAAATATTTTTTAAAGAATTTTTCTATCTTTATTGATTCACATGCATAACAAATTGCATATATATGAAGCAATTAAAGAGAGGGCTAGCAGAATGGTAAAAATATATATTTATTACCAATGAAAGTTTATCGAGATTTCTTCACGAAAAAGAGATATAATAAATACTCAATTAACAGTAGAGAATACATTACTTTAATTTTGGATAGACTAGTTCTTCCATGCTTTGCTTGCTCTCCCTTGTGAACACAGAGTACACTCCTCTAAACTACCAAGTCTCACTTAAGTCGACGGCCTCCACACTTCAGTGAATCCACTCCCCAATTAGGAAGACTCTACGCACTGACTCGTTGCTCCAAGTCAAGCTGGTATCACCGTGCGCACCGACGCCGGCCGGCCGCGGCGGCGATGGCTGGCTTTCCGCTGATCACATCAGCGATCACTTGCGCAGTGGGCATCATCTTCTTCTCCGTTTGCTACCTGCATCCGGCACCGGTCGCCGCCTTGTACTTCAACTACTCCACCTTCAGCCAGGACGACGGGAACACCATCAGACTCGAAGGCGACGCCTCCTTCGGCGACGGGTGGATCGACATCAGCGCCAACAGGTACGGCCACAGGGGACACAGCAAAGGCCGGGCATCGTACAGCGCCCGGCCGATGCTCCTCTGGAGCAGGGACACCGGCGAGGTTGCCAGCTTCACCACGCGCTTCTCCTTCAACATCACCCCGCCCAAAGAGGACGGCGGCATCGACAACAAGGGCACCGGCATGGCCTTCTTCCTCGCCGCCTACCCGTCCATGCTCCCGAGCGGGGTCGATGAGCTCGGCTACAACATCGGTCTCACCGACCAAGGCCCGGACGCCGTGGCGACTGGCGACAGCCGGTTCGTCGCGGTGGAGTTCGACACCTTCAACAACACCATGGTGCACGACCCCGACGCCACCTACGACCACCTCGGCATCGATGTCAACTCAGTCGTGTCCAACAAGACCTTGACCTTGCCCAGCTTCACCCTCGTCGGGAACATGACCGCCGTCGTCGAGTACGACAACGTCTCCAGCATCCTGGCCATGAGGCTGCACCTCGGCTATGGGCTTAGTGGCCCCCGTCACCGGCCGGATTACAACCTTAGCTACAAGGTTGACCTCAAGAGCGTGCTGCCGGAGCTGGTCTCCGTTGGCTTCTCCGCCTCCACGACCACATCCTTTGAGCTGCATCAGCTGCATTCATGGTATTTCAGCTCATCGTTGGAACCAAAGGCCGCGGTGCGTGGCAGAGTTGTAGCGGGAGCCACCGTTGGCACGGTAATGTTCGTCATACTCCTCTTCGCCATGGTAGCAGTCCTTGTACGACAACGTCAGAGCAAGAAGAGGGAGACAGAGGAGGCAAAGAACGGAGGCATGGATGGCAGCGACGACGACGATGACGACGACGGCGAGACCATCGTAGAGATCGAGATGGGGACGGGGCCAAGGCGATTTCCATACTACGAACTTGTCGAGGCGACCAAGAGTTTCGCGGCGGAGGAGAAGCTTGGGCAAGGCGGTTTCGGCACAGTGTATCGGGGCTACCTCAGAGAGCAGGGCCTCGCCGTCGCCATAAAGAGATTCACCAAAGATTCCTCCAAGCAAGGCAGGAAGGAGTACAAGTCAGAGATCAAGGTCATAAGCCGTCTGCGCCACCGCAATCTCGTGCAGCTCATCGGCTGGTGCCATGGCCACGACGAGCTCCTTCTTGTTTACGAGCTCGTCCCCAACCGTAGCCTCGACATCCATCTCCACGGCAATGGCACCTTCCTCACATGGCCAATGAGGTTATTAACTCTTGCTAATTTTGTCTTAATCTTTGTAGTGTCAACTTAATTGGCGAACATATTGTCAAATTTTACTCAGGTTTACGAACTTGCTAAGTGCACATCGAGATCTCTAAACTTGGTTTAGAGTATCATCTCGGTCCAAAGCCGCGTTTGACCGTGCTCTTGCCTATGTGACACGCCACATAGACGATGACATGGAATTTTTTTTCTCCTTTTTCTTTTTTTTTTCTCCTGCGCAACCGAATCGTTAACCATGTTCCCTTATACAGTTTCGCATACTCGTTCGTCCAGTTGTTAGTTATTCACAGGCTGTCGCACGTGTGGAACGAAGAAGGAAAAGGAAGTATCCATGTGCTTTCCTGATGGGCCACCCTTACCTTTCTTCTAAAATTCATCATCATGTCTCCACACTACTGCCACTGCAAACAGTGTACGCATTGACTCGATCAATCAACGGGGAGGGAACACAACACGGCGGCCATCGATGGCCGGCGTTTTGCAGATCACATCGTCGACGACCACCACGAGGTACAATATTGTCGGCCTCATCTTCTTCTTCTCCGTCTTCTGCGACGATCTCTACTCGCCGGCTCCAGTCGCCTTGGCCTTGACCTTCAACCACACCAACTTCGGCCCGGACGAGCAGACGAACATCAGGCTGGAAGGCGACGCCGCCTTCAGCGCCGACTTCTCCTTCAGCGGCGACGGCGGCGGGTGGGTCGACATCAGCGCCAACAGGCACGGCAGCATCGAAGACAGCCGTGGCAGGGTGTCGTACGCCCTTCCGGTCCCTCTCTGGGACGCCGCCACCGGCGAGGTTGCCAGCTTCACCACCGGCTTCTCCTTCGTCATCAACCCGCCCAAACAGGACGGCGGCATCGACAACAAGGGCGCCGGCATGGCCTTCTTCCTCGCCGGCTTCCCGTCGAGGCTCCCCGGCTCCTACCCCTACAACCTCGGCCTCACCAACCAGACCGCCGACCAGGTGGCCGCCGGCGACGACCGGTTCGTCGCCGTGGAGTTCGACACCTTCAACGACACCATCGTGCACGACCCCGACGCCACCTACGACCACCTCGGCGTCGACGTCAACTCCGTCGTGTCCAAGACGACCTTGACCTTGCCCAGCTTCACCCTCGTCGGGAACATGACCGCCGTCGTCGAGTACGACAACGTCTCCAGCATCCTGGCCATGAGGCTGCACCTCGGCTATGGGCTTAGTGGCCCCCGTCACCGGCCGGATTACAACCTTAGCTACAAGGTTGACCTCAAGAGCGTGTTGCCGGAGCAGGTCGCCGTCGGCTTCTCCGCCGCGACGTCCACATCCGTCGAGCTGCATCAGCTGCGTTCATGGTACTTCAGCTCGTCGCTGGAACCCAAGGCCGCACCGCCACCGGTGGCGCCGCCGTCACCGTCACCACCGCCTACCTCCGGTTCAGGAAGTGGCGGGGTTGTAGCGGGAGCCACCGTCGGCGCAGCACTGTTCGTCGTGCTCCTCTTGGCCATGGTAGCAGTCGTCGTACTCGTACGACGACGACATCAGAGGAAGAAGATGAGGGAGGCGGAGGAGGCGAACGACGACGACGATGACACGGAAGGCGATCCCATCATGGAGATCGAGAACGGGACGGGGCCGAGGCGGTTCGCGTACCATGTGCTCGTCAACGCAACCAAGAGCTTCGCGGCGGAGGAGAAGCTTGGCCAGGGCGGATTCGGCGCAGTGTACCGGGGCTATCTAAGAGAGCAGGGCCTCGCCGTCGCCATTAAGAGGTTCATCAAAGATTCCTCCAACCAAGGGAGGAGGGAGTACAAGTCAGAGATCAAGGTCATAAGCCGTCTGCGCCACCGCAATCTCGTGCAGCTCATCGGCTGGTGCCATGGCCACGACGAGCTCCTTCTTGTTTACGAGCTCGTCCCCAACCGTAGCCTCGACATCCATCTCCACGGCAATGGCACCTTCCTCACATGGCCAATGAGGTTATTAACTCTTGCTAATTTTGTCTTAATCTTTGTAGTGTCAACTTAATTGACGAACATATTGTCAAATTTAACTCAAGTGATCAGCTAACTTCTATTTTGTCACAGGGTCAAGATTATTCTTGGGCTCGGATCAGCCCTATTCTACCTTCATGAGGAGTGGGAGCAATGTGTCGTACACCGTGACATCAAGCCAAGCAATGTCATGTTGGATGAGTCCTTCAATGCCAAACTAGGTGACTTCGGACTTGCAAGGTTCATTGATCACATCGTGGGGATGCAGACAATGACTGCAGTCTCTGGGACACCGGGCTATGTTGATCCTGAATGCGTGATCACCGGCAGAGCAAGCGCAGAATCCGACGTTTATAGCTTCGGCATTGTCCTACTGGAGGTGGCGTGCGGGAGGAGGCCGATGAGCTTACTAGACAGCCAGAAGAATGGTATCTTCCGGTTGGTCGAGTGGGCTTGGGATTTGTACGGCAAGGGAGACATTCTCATGGCCGCTGATGAGCGGCTCAACGGCGACTACGACGCGGCGGAGATGGAGCGTGTCATTGTCATCGGGCTCTGGTGCGCACACCCTGATCCGAACGCGCGTCCGTCTATCAGAAATGCCATGGCTATGCTCCAATCCGGTGGGCAACTGCCAGTGTTGCCGGCTAAGATGCCCGTGCCGATGTACATTCCTCCAGTGGTCTCTGTAGATGAGCTCTTCACGTCGCCTGCAGGGATGTCATCCTCAAGTGCGACGCAGTCATCAACAACAACGGTGAGTGGCTACGCAACCCACATCTCGACTTCTTCTGACACATCCACTTCAGCTGGTTCGAAGGACTCGTCTTCGTTGCTCAAACATCAGTTCTAGTAATGTTCAGTTCATTTGAGTTGTTCTTGATTTTACAGTAGTTGATGCTTGGATGGGATGTTCAGCTCGTCAGCGCCCGTTGATTTGATCTTTAGACTTTTGCTTAATTGCCGGTGTGAGTAATCTGGTATTTACGCCATGCTTTGAACTTTTACAGTCATTTTAAGTTTGTCTACAAATATGTATGTATAAATGTATAATGCCACATTTCTATTCATTCAGATTGCCGATATACCTAACAGCTCGTTCTTTCGATCGTCCGCTTGCTAGAAGCCAGTTAATGTTCTGGGCCTCAGGCCCATTAGTAGAGTAGGCCTCCATCCTCCTTATTGCCTTCACCATCAGGCCCATAGTACAAAGTTAGGCTGGGCCATAGCCTGCAGGCAAAGTTGCTTTAATCAATTCCTAGTGATTTTGCTATATACTGTATTTATTAGCAAATTTTCTCCCAAAATATTGACATGTAAATATAATATAATTATAGTGTAACTACATCGTTAGATTTGCTTCAAGATTCGTACTAACGAGAGAAAAAAATCACACCGCATACACATCTGGGGATTCGGTCACATGACCTCCATTTTATAGAAATAGCATATTACTAAGAGATTTTTAAAAGTTACATACAAGTTAAATTTTAGTTTTATGTAAATTAAAATGTATTGTACTATTTATTTTATCTACCAAAATTTTTGAAGAAAATTTATAAACGAATATATAGGTAGTACCATTAGAGGAAGCTATTAGCAGAGACCTTGAGACATTGACTGGTCTCTCTTGAGTAGATAGATATATATGTACTTTTTTTTTCCAGCATCACTCTCGATCAATCAGTGGATGGCTACAATAATTTTAGATAGGATAGTGCTAGTCCTTGACTTATGGTCTCCTGAAAGCAACTACTACTTGCTACTACAATAGTTTCAGTCTTCATATAGGCTCCTGTAGTCCTTCGACTTGCGGTTTCATGTGCATTGCACCTAGCTCTACTATCAATGGTGATTGGTGATCAGATGTGTTTGTGTTTTGGATATATATATCTAGATATCGGTGCCTAACTTTATACGGTAGTATAATTTTTTAAAGGTAGAGGACAACAATAATTTATACTATCAATTATTCAAAGGATTTTTATAACTTTGTGTCGTTAGAACGAAACCAGTGCACGTGCTTAAAATCAACATCAGCATAGGCTCATTATATTCCTCGAAGTCTAGAAAATTAATCAAACCAATGTTCATGGAGGCAATGGTTAATTTTCAGTCACAATTTTGAGAAGTTTGGGCGCACCATAAAAAAAATAAAATACACCAGCAGTTCTTAAACTAGTTAGGAGGTTTCACTCAGGTTTACGAACTTGCTAAGTGCACATCGAGATCTCTAAACTTGGTTTACTGTATCATCTCGGTTCAAAGCCGCGTTTGACCGTGGTCTTGCCTATGTGACACGCCACATGGACGATGACATGGAATTCTTTTCTCCTTTTTCTTTTTTTTTTCTCCTGCGCAACCGAATCGTTAACCATGTTCCCTTATACAGTTTCGCATACTCGTTCGTCCAGTTGTTAGTTATTCACAGGCTGTCGCACGTGTGGAACGAAGAAGGAAAAGGAAGTATCCATGTGCTTTCCTGATGGGCCACCCTTACCTTTCTTCTAAAATTCATCATCATGTCTCCACACTACTGCCACTGCAAACAGTATACGCATTGACTCTATTAATCAGCGGGGGAGGGAACACGGTGGCGATCGATGGCCGGCGTCTTGCCGGCAACCACCACGACGAACAATATTGTCGGGCTCATCTTCTTCTGTCAGATCGTCATCTGACAGTGCTGAGGAAGATACTGAAGAAGAACTGAGCTTGGAAGCAGAGCAGGACGATGATGAGAAGATGCAAGCTGAAGCTGAAGATGCAGAGCAGGGAGGAGTTATGGACCATCAACCCGCGTTGCGGCGCACTTCAAGGACTGTCAAGCCCAACCCACTGTACCATGGGCCACAGTGGGCCGTGTAACTGAATTCGTTGTAACAGCTGTCTAACAGCTAGCGTGTCGCGTATGCTGTACGTTGAGAGCGAGAGAGAGAACTATATATATGAATTGGGGATGAACTAGAGAGGAGGACTTTTGGCAATCTGGTGGCGAAGGCGGCGGAAGGCTCAATCCTGTTGGATTGGTGCATAATACATCAGTAATCGATTGCCATATATCTTGTTGCTGTTCTGTGATTGTTCTAGTTAGATTAGATCCTAACAATCTGGTATCAGAGCCTCAATTTGTCTCGAAATCCTCTTGATTTTGCTGTAAAATTCCTTGCAAGGGATTGGAACCGACTTCGGTTGGATTCCGCGAAAAGGAAACTTGCCCTTCTAGGTTAGCGAAATTCGGAGAGTAGACAAGTTCAGGCCTCGGATCCAGGAGTAGCGCCATGGATACGGATGGGAAGCTTGATGTGTTGCTCAAGTTGGTGGAGGGGAACGAGAAGAAGCGGGTGGAAGCGGATGAGTGTACGAGGGCGGAGTACCAAGAGCTCAAGAAGACGGTGGAATCCAGAATTCCTGTGGTTGAGAAGAAGGTGGAGGTGTTGAGCGAGGCGTTGCTCGAGCTGAATCTCAAGGTGAACCGCTTGGAGGGATAGATGCAGAGGACAGTTAAGGAAGAAGTTCCTCAAGGCAAGGTTGCTGATCCGAAACCGACCACACCATCTGGTATGCGAGATCTTCACCTGTTTTCCTCTGCTTCTACTTTCGGAAACAATTCTAGGAAGTCTGATCAAGGAGGTGAAATTCCCATGGACATTAGTGCTAACGGTCCACCCATGGTTTGTCCACAATTCAATGGTGATAACCCTCAGATGTGGAAATCAAATTGTGAGCAATATTTTGAAGTTTATGGCACACATCCTATCAATTGGGTAAAAATTGCAACCCTGAATTTCGTGGGCAATGCTGCGTTCTGGATGCAATCTGTTAGGTCTCAACTGCAGGGAATTACTTGGGTGGGGTTATGTGAATTGGTGTGTAGCAGGTTTGCTAAAGATAGGCATCAGGCACTGATTCGCCAATGGATTCATATTTCTCAGACTGGGTCAGTGAGTGAGTATGTGGAAAAATTTGATGGGTTAATGCACCAACTAATGGCCTATGATTCATCATTAGTTCCTGTTTATTTTTTCACCAAGTTTGTGGAATGATTGAAAGATGAGATAAGAGTAGTGGTTATGGTTCAGAGGCCCCAGGATTTAGATTCTGCTTGTGCCATAGCCCTGCTGCAGGAGGAAGCTTTAGAAGGTGTTAAGGCCAGTCATTACAGGAGGTCAGACCCAGGGGTTATGCTCAAAACAAATAGAACTGGACCTATTGTGGGAGTTACTCAGCATACTAAGAACAATTTGAATCAATCTGAAGACAGAAGGGGCACTGAATCTGCTAGAGCTAAAGATGATAAGGTGGCTGCTCTGAGGGCTTATAGGAGGTCCAAGGGACTATGCTTTGTCTGTGGAGAACGATGGGGTAAAGAACATAAGTGTGCAACTACAGTTCAGCTTCATGTAGTGGAACAACTGTTGGCAGTGTTACAACCTGAAATTGACAGTGATTCTGATAACATTGAATTGGGAACATCACCAGAACAACATGGCACTTTATTGACCATATCTCAACAAGCTCTGTGGGGAACTGAATCAAATCAGTCTATCAAGGTGAATGGTTGGGTGCAGGGAATGGAACTGATCATGCTTATTGACTCAGGCAGCACACATTCGTTTGTGGATGAACAAATTGCACTTAAGTTGATGGGAGCTAGAAGGTTGCAACAACCCCTAACTGTTAGAATTGCTGATGGAGGTGTCATGCAGTGCACTAGGGAAATTGCTGACTGTCGTTGGTGGATGCAGGGACAGAGTTTCTGCAGTAATTTCCGACTGCTACCCCTGGGAAATTATGATGCCATATTGGGTATGGACTGGCTCACAATGCACAGCCCAATGAAGGTAGACTGGGTTCAAAAATGGATGGAATTCCAATACCTGGGAAGGGATGTTCGAATTCAAGGAATTACTAATCAGCCAGCACAGTGTTCTCATATAACACACAACCAGTTATCTGGCATGAACAGGAAGGGTTCACTGTTGTATTTTATCCAGTTACAAAATATGGCCATACAGGAGAATAGCACTATTTCTGATTCAGTCAAACCTATGTTGTTAGAGTTTGCTGACCTCTTTGAGGAACCAACTGAATTACCTCCGAGAAGAGCTTGTGATCACAGCATTAACCTCATTCCAGGGGCTAAACCCATTAATCTGAGACCTTATAGGCACAATCCTGCTCTCAAGGATGAAATAGAGAGGCAGATAGCTGAGATGCTCAAGTCTGGGGTGATTCAACCCAGCCAAAGTCCTTTTTCTTCCCCAGCTATACTTGTCAAGAAAAAAGACCACACTTGGAGATTGGTAATAGATTACAGAAAGTTGAATGCCATTACAGTCAAAACAAAATATCTAGTTCCAGTGATGGAGGAACTACTGGATGAACTATCTGGTTCAAAATGGTTTACCAAGCTGGACTTAAGATCAGGTTATCACCAAATTAGAATGGCTGAGGGAGAGGAACACAAAACAGCCTTTCAAACTCATTCTGGGCACTATGAATATAAGGTGATGTCTTTTGGCTTGACTGGGGCACCTGCAACATTTTTGGGGGCTATGAATGACACTCTAAAATATGTACTTAGAAAATTCGTCCTGGTTTTCTTTGACGATATCCTGATCTATAGTCCAGATTTTGAGTCACATTTGACTCATGTCAGACAAGTCTTACAACTACTTCAGCAATATCAGTGGAAGGTTAAATTAAGCAAATGTTCTTTTGCTTAGTCACAGTTATCTTATTTGGGCCACATCATCGGTGCAAATGGGGTTGCAACTGATCCACAAAAGGTTCAGGATATACTCAATTGGGAGATTCCTACCAATGTTAAGAAGTTGAGAGGATTTCTGGGATTGGCTGGTTATTACAGAAAATTTGTACAAGGCTTTGGTCTGAAAAGTAAACCTCTGACCAATCTTTTGAGGAAGGGTGTTCCTTTTGTTTGGAGTACAGAAGCAGATTCAGCCTTCCAGGCTCTTAAGACATCTCTGGCCTCAGCTCCTGTCTTGGCTTTACCAAATTTTCAAAAAACCTTTGTGGTGGAAACTGATGCTAGTGACTATGGAATCGGTGCAGTACTATCACAGGAGAAGCACCCAATTGC